GAGGCACACTCGAGCAGAGCCTTTGTGTTGATCAGCCTCGCCGTCTCCCGAATGTTCCCGTAACTGTCGAGGATATACTGGCCGTCAGGCCTGACCAGTTTCGACGGCGGCAAGCTTCGCACGAAAGAAACTATCTTCATGTAGCTGGCCATATCCTCCTCGTCAAGCGCCCCCGCCCGCATGATGTACCCACCTGTTCCCCGAGAATAATGATCCAGGGACCACTCCACGTGCACCCGGGGCAGCATGACGGCCTCACGACAGCCATCTACTATCCTCTCCCCTTCCGAATATAACGAGCGGACCCCCTCGTGCGTGATAGGGCTGACCACGAAAAAACGACTCTTGAAGTCTTGGACGGAATCCATGTACGTCCTAAAAAGCCTGTCTGGCTGCTTAAATGACACCCAACCATGCCGGCCTCCCACCGACTGCCGCTGCAGATGGAAAATGTAAAAGAACAACGGCAGCATGACGCCGACCTGGAGATATTGACACACGAGCTCGAAGGCCCGAATGAAGGCCAGGGCATTGGGATGCAGTTGTGACGGGGCCAGCCTCAGCCAGTCGAAGAGGCCCAAATGAAAGTCCGAAAAAGGCAACCTGAGCCTAGCCTCTTTAAAGTAAAACTCGTACATCGGAAAACGCATTCGCCCGTATTTTGAGCAGATCCGATGACCTGGCCGGGGGCGATAGACTTGCCAGTTTTGAGGATCCCCCTCTTCTCGGTCTTCTACGGTGGCGTAAGCCCCCGTCGGATCAGCAGCAAAGCAGGAGGGCGTGGTGAGGGGCTCCTTGGCCACCCAGTCTGCAATCGGAACGACGCGCTCGTCAAAATAGGGGACGTCCGACTCATTATCCTCGGCCATTGTTTCCAAGATGAGCGTAGTCATTAAAACACCTGAAAAGCAGAAGGTAACGGTGAATTCGATGACAGAGATCAAATTCACCCTTCCACCGCAAGTCAAGTGAAAGGGCGACGTGGATTCCCCGAGCACTGTTCCCGGTGGGTCTGCCCTAACCTATTACCTCCCCGTTTCCGTATGACCCGAACAGCAAACCCACCTCGGGGACATCCGTCGGAATAGACGTCGCTCCCTGGAATAATCGTCGGAGTAAAAAAGCGCTCTCCGGGGCATTCATCGGAAAAGGCTACCCTCCCCAGGGCATTCATCGGAAAAATACTTCCGTCCCCGGGGTACTCATCGGATCTAGCGCTTTTCCCCGGGACATTCATATTAAAACCCCTAACAAACCCTCGAGAACGGCGGAGATTTCGCCGCTCCTCGAGGCATTCAATCGGCCCCGGCCACTCTCAACAGACAAACGAGAAAGGCAAGAGAAAAGGAAAGGGAAAACTTACTATGGTAAAATCGGCGACGGAGAACGCGGCGGCGGCAATGGCGGAGATATCGGACGGCGGCGGAACAACAGGCTAGAGATTTGAGAATCAGAGAGCAAAAAGTGAGAAATGAACACGGGCCCGCTCATTTATACCCCTGCACGGGACTCGAAGCATCGCTAGACACTTGAGTACCCTAGGGTAGCCGTCCTAGCAGCCACCCAGAATGCGACACGTGGCGGAAGCAGACAGACGCGTCTCTTCACCTCTCCCCGCCAATACCCGCCTTCGAGCCCGGCCAACCGACGACAATAAGCACGCGCCTTCACACGGGAAAGTCCTTTCCCTGACCGGTCCGCTTCCCCGGAACGATGTCATCAAGTCCTTACTCCCATCCTCGGAACGACGACTTGGAGGGCTCATGTTCTGGACTGGGCCCCGGGTTGAACTATGCTGGCCCAGCCCAATAATGTTCCGCCAAGCCCTGCCCGGGTCCGAGCTACCGCGTCGGGCACAAGATCCCCGACTTGCTAGAATGATCTCCCCGCGGGGGAGAACCGTCCCAACCACGTCGGGCGAGAGAATCGCCCGCACGACCAAGCGTCGTCCTCCGCGGGCGGTATTCCCATGCCATCGAGCAAGACTTGTCCCCCGCGGGAGGAACCCACACCTTGTCGGGCAGCATAACGTGTCCTTCACACGTTCTCCACATGCTCCCCTCCGCAGGGACACGTCATCCCCCAACTGCCCACCTCCGAAAGAGCAGGTCAAACCCACTTCCGGAGACCACGGGACAATTGGACTAGGGCGAAGACCACGTCCTGGTCTTCACTACGCCACGTAAGCCCTAACAGTCACCTGGGTTGGGCCTGGTCATTCAGCCCAGCTCAAGTGACCGTTGGCCCAGCGCTGGGGTCTCTCTATAAATACCCTCTTCCACAAGAGGGTCAGGTAATTTGCTTCTTACCCCATTTATGTACTTTGCTCTCACTCTGCCAAATTCCTTACTTTGGCATCGGAGTGTCTTGCAGGTACACCCCGTTTTTCATTCTCATCATCGGTGAATAGGTAGCAGTGCAACAGCGTGTTGCTAACCCGTGATCCCCTTCTGATCAGGTCAGATCATATATATATATATATATATATATATATATATATATATATATATATATATATATATATATATATATATATATATATATATATATATATATATATATATATATATATATATATATATATATATATATATATATATATATATATATATATATATATATATATATATATATATATATATATATATATATATATATATATATATATATATATATATATATATATATATATATATATATATATATATATATATATATATATATATATATATATATATATATATATATATATATATATATATATATATATATATATATATATATATATATATATAGCAACCACAACTATTTATATTAATTAGTAAATCATTAATCTTTAAATATTATTTATTAAATTATTTTAATATTTAATTATTATAATTAAACTACTTTTCTTTTACTAATTCAACTATTTTATTAGTTTAAAAAGACTAATTATTTTACTAATTAATAAATAGTTTATTAAAATAGTATATATTAAAATGCTTATACATTAAATAGTTCATAAAAAAATTATACATTAAATAGTTTATAAACTATTTATGAACTATTTGTAAAATAAGTGCAGTGTATATATATATATATATATATATATATATATATATATATATATATATATATATATATATATATATATATATATATATATATATATATATATATATATATATATATATATATATATATATATATATATATATATATATATATATATATATATATATATATATATATATATATATATATATATATATATATATATATATATATATATATACACTGCACTTATTTTACAAATAGTTCATAAAATAGTTTATAAACTATTTAATGTATAATTTTTTTAATATATATATATATATATATATATATATATATATATATATATATATATATATATATATATATATATATATATATATATATATATATATATATATATATATATATATATATATATATATATATATATATATATTAAATTAATTAATTATATAATAGTTAAAATATTAAATAATTAAAATATTTTATAAACTTATTATTTAATAAACAAAATAATTTTAATATTAATAGTTGTAATATTTTATAAACTTATTATTTAATAAATTAAATACTTGAAATATTTATATGTATTATATCTTTACTTTTTAATTTTTTACATATATCAAAAAAGTTAATAATTGTTGTTATTTTTTAAACAATAATTATTTTTTTGTCTATTTTATCTTTACTTTTTATTAATTTATTTGACTTTTTTCTATATAATAAATAATTATAAGTAATTTTGACAACAAAAATCAATACTATTTTAAAATTTAAAATGATATTTAAAAATGAAAAAAAAAATTCTAAAAAATGACAATTAAAAAAAGAATGAAGATAGTATAAACTAAGCATATTATAACGTCACCTGTTAAAAGTTTTTTTATTAAATTAAATGAATAGATTAAATCATAAAAAATAGTATATCACGCTATATTATTATTAAAATTTTCTCATATAGTATATTATTAGTTTTTCTCATCTAGTTGAATAATTAATTATGAATGACGCATAAAATATTAAAGATAAAAAACATCCAGTTCAATCTGCAAGTGTCACCACTCTATATATTGTTAACAGGAAAGAGATATGTGGAGATCAGAGCTAGAAAGTAGTTTATTATTATTATTACATAAGCTAGAAAAGTAGATAAAATTAAAGAAAGCTGAATTCGTCATGGTTGCGTTGCATTGCATTAATCGTACATCTATTTGTCTTGATTTACTTTTGTCTAAAAATATATAATTAGTTTTCCTACTACTTTTACCAAATCAATCATATGAACTAATGGTAAAAGGTTCACATAATTGCCATTTCTGATATGTGAGTTTCAACTTATTCTTATTATTTTTGGGTAGTTTTCTTAGTTGAGCATTCTTTTGGGGCTGTTTTATTTTAGTTGTTAGTTGCATCCCTCTGGACTTCAAGTACAAATATATATTATTAAAGCAAAATGTGGGTGGAGGATAACATGCAATCACTTCTATTACCACTTTAGCTAATCTTGATTAATTTAACAATGAAAAAAGATAATTAAGCAATCGCTTCTTTTAGCTAGGTTGCATGCGCTGCAAGAAAATTTAATGGAAAAAGGAATAGTACAATTTAGGTGCTTTTCCTTTATCCACGGTTGTTTCCTTTAGCCTATATACGTACTTTGAAATCCATAACCTTGAGGTTTTAAAAAGGGATACACAACTTTTTTTGCTTAAAAAAACTGAGTTTAACTTTTAAGGAACTTGGTAATTGGCAGTATGGAAATTAACAATAATTCAGCCTATACAACCTGCATATCAGTGAATTATAAGCAGTCAAGCAGATACGAATTCCCACAAGAACTTTCACCGCACCACCAAAAATGCACAGCCCTATGCATGCATGCCCGCGCAGCTTGACCAAAACGAACTTCATAAGATATCGTCTCCAATTCAATTTTCTTTGTGCCCAGAAATAAACTATGATCACATGTCCACTGGAGGAGCTCCCTAAATATGACAATTGAAAGATCATAGTCAGTGTTATCAAATGAATAGAAAATTTTTCCTAAAAGTAATGGCAATATGTCATTTCATTCTACCATAACTGGTAAAAGCAAGAACTCACCTTAAACAGAAGATCATATGCTATATATTCCCAAGGCAGCGATATGGACATTAAGCTGCATTTCAAAGGTATCATTTCATCAAAATTTGAGCTAGAGGAAGAGGCGGCAGCATAAGCATGTTTCGCTGCTACTGATGCAACCATTGCAGCTCTGCGAACAATTACACCCAACCCGATGCCTTTCTTTGATATAACTGGAGAAGGTGGCTCTGAATCCTGGTGACTTTGATCTGACATTGCAACAGACAGATTCCATTTCATCCATCTCTCAATATATACCTTTTAAATGATAAAATTAGAGCTTTACTACACACACAAGCTTCGCAATATATTTAGTGAGATTTGTCGAACAAGAAATAGTATTTCCAGTGAGGCTTTGTTTATCTATCAACTATTCCAACTAGTACTTACTGTCCTAATAGAATAAAAGTTAATAAGCAATCATGTAATATTAAACTAATCAGTAATGCAATGTGTGATGAAAGTTAATTATTTACAACAATATCTTATTTTTATATAACACAGAAAGTCAGGGTGGAAAATACTAGCTTTTCAAAACAAAATTCCGAAATCTAACCAATGAAAAAGTTGCCTACCTGCAACTCCAGAAACAGCTACTTCAACTTCCCCTCGGCCTCCAGGACCTTTCATGTAAATCCTATCTGTTTTGCCATGATAATGACCTCCTGATAAAAGGCTCCCAAATCGAGATTTTCCAGCTGCAGTGAAGCAAAGATCAGATGCATAAGTGACCAGTGAGACAACATATATATGGTTCATGGCACAAATTAACTACGTAAAATATAATAAACTCGGAAGTTTCACCGTGCAAAGGCAAAAGAGTGTTATGGTGATTTAAGGGGAAATTCTCTTTGAAGAGAAGTAAAAAACAGATGCTTACTGAAGATTAATCTACAGAATCAAAACTACTTTATACATGAAATTTGTAAACACTTGAAATATCATAGCATGACTGAGTACTGTGGTTTTACTGAAAAGGATGAATGAAAGATATCAACATAGTCAATGAGTTGTGAAAGTGAATGTTTCACAGGTTCGGATGAAATGATATATCAACTCAAGACAGGGATACATTTATATCCACATAACTTTGTGAAACATTGGTGAACCATATCGTTAACTGTGCAAAAATATGTTCCAAATCATTCATTCTGTAGATAATACATTCAAAAACATTGCAGAAGTACAAAGAAAGCAATATCTAGATAGAGGGCATTGTAGAAAAAATAACCATCATATGCATCTCTAACCATCTGATAGCTGACAAATCCTGAGAAAAGGGTTAGCTGCAAATCAGAGAAACCATAGAGTTAGAATGTCTACAAAAGGGTCATTTAAGAACTTCTGAGCTAGAGTACCATTGTTGATGTACTCGTGATAATCCCTTTAATTATTATTATTATTATTATTATTATTATTATTATTATTATTATTATGATTATTATTATGAATATACAAGTGATAATCCCTTTAAATAGAGTATTTTGACCTAATGGGCTTTACTAAAAATCCAAACTTAAATTACTAATAAAAATAACAAACTAATTAATTATTTATAATACTCTCCCTCAAGCTGGTGAATATATATCTATCATTTCCAGCTTGGAAACAATTTCTTCAAAGTTATTGTTGTTCACCCCTTTTGTTAGAAGATCTGCAAGGTTGCCTTGGGAAGACACATATGGAGTGCAAATAAGGCCACTGTCTAATTTTTCTTTAATGAAGTGTCTATCAACTTCAATATGTTTGGTTCTGTCGTGTTGCACTGTATTATGAGCTATGCTGATAGCCGATTTATTATCACAATAAAGCCTCATCAGTTCATCGCACTTTATCCTCAGATCTTCTAAGATTGATTTCAACCATATTAGTTCACATATCCCTTGTGCCATCGCCCTGAACTCTGCTTCAGCACTAGATCGATACTACATTTTGTTTCTTACTTTTCCAAGTCATAAGATTTTCACCTAGGAAAGTGCAATAACCTGTAGTTGATCTCCTACGATTGACCCTGCATAATCGGCATCGGTATATGCTTCAAGACCTACACTCCTATTCCTTTCAAATATTGTACAATTCGGAGCACAGCTTGTAAGTGAATCTTCTTTGGCCGATGCATGAATTGGCTGACTAAGCTAATGGCAAAAGCAACATCAGGTCTAGTATGTGAGAGGTATATAAGTTTTCTGAATAATCTCTAATACATTTCCTTATCAACCGCAATATGCAATATCTTCTTCTGCATTTTCCAACTTTACATTTGGATCAGCGGGTGTATTTGCAGGGTTGCATGCTGTCTTGCCAGTTTTCTGCAGAAGATCAGTAATGTATTTCTGTCGAGATATGAAAATTCCTTTCTTAGAGTGGGCAACTTCAATTCCCAGAAAGTATTTCAATTTTCCCAAGGATTTAATCTCAAATTCCTTGGCTAAGTGTATATCCAACAATTGTTGTCCTTCCTCATCATTACCTGTGACTATAATATCATCCACATATACCAATAACACAGTTACTTCCCCTGTTTCAGAATGTCGGATAAATAAGGTATGATCTTCTTGACTTTGTTTGAAGCCCAAACCTATCATAACTTTAGTGAATTGTCCAAACCATGCTCGTGGCAATTGCTTTAACCCATATAAAGATTTTTTTAACTTGCACACGGTGTTGGTGGTAGTATGTTCACAAAACCCAGGGGGTATATCTATGTAGATTTCTTCTTCAAGTTCACCATGAAGGAACGCATTCTTCACATCGAATTGGTTTAAATTCCAATTACAATTAGCTGCTAAAGATAATATCACCCTAACTGTATTCATTTTTGCAACTGGAGCAAATGTCTCTGAATAATCTACTCCATAGGTTTTAGTGAATCCTTTAGCTACCAATCTTGCCTTGTATCTCTCAATCGATCCATCTTCCTTGTATTTAATAGTGTATACCCACTTGCACCCTACAGGTTTCTTTCCATTTGGTAAAGAAACCAATTCCCAAGTATCGTTCTTTTTCAATGCTTCCATCTCTAAATCCATGGCTTGTTTCCATTTCCTGTCAGACAATGCCTCAGATAGAGAGGTAGGTAGTTTTATAGTGTTCAGATTTGTAAGGAAGGCTTTATGGGTAGGTGAAACATGTTCAAAACATAGGTAGTTGGATAGAGGGTAAAGTGGTTGTTTGGTACAACTTCTGGTATCTTTCCTAAGGGCAATTGTAAGATGTAAATCTTTATAGGGTGATGGTAGTGGTGGTGGAGTTGAATCGGATTCTGGTTCCTATTCATGAGAAAATTCAGAAGTTGAGTCACTAGAGTTAGAATTTACCTCATGTAATGTCGGGTCAGACTCTTAGATATGAGTAGATTTAGGAATGGTCTTCCTTCTTGTATATACTAAATTCTTCCCATATCTTACATCAGTTTCATCTTTTTCAGATCCAAGAATAAGGTCAGGAAGTATTAGAGACTCATCTTCCTTATTTACGTTCTCCCCCTGAAGATGAGCTTGAACGAAGTAACTTTCTTGTTCATGGAAAGTGACGTCTCGAGAGACAAAGAGCTTGTGAGACGGTGGATGATAACATTTGTAACCTTTTTGGGTGGAAGAATATCCTATAAAGACACACTTTAAGGCTCTAGGATCAAGTTTTCCTCTACCATCACTATGAATATGGACGAACGATGTACACCCAAATATCCTAGGAGTGAGGTTACTAGAGGTAGACACATTAGGATAGAACGAGGATAAGACTTCTATAGGAGTTTTGAAAGCAAGGACAATAGAAGGCAAACAGTTTATGAGATACGATGCAGTTAAAACTGCCTCACCCCAATATTTCTTTGGTACTTTATTTTGAAATAGCATAGCACGTATTTGGTCTAGCAAATGCCCATTTTTTCTTTCAGCAATGTCATTTTGTTGGGGTGTTTTAACACATGAAGACTCATGAATGATACCTTCATTTTAACACAAGGAATTAAGATTATGATTAAAATAATCCTTGACATTATCAGACCGAATCTTCTTAATACTCATACCAAATTGATTTTTAACCATAGAAAGAAATTGAGGAACCACATGACTAACTTCAGATTTTTGTTTAAGTAAACCCAAGTAACCCGAGTACAATCATCAAAAAAGGTGATAAACCAGCGGGCACCTGAAATATTTGGAATATTAGATGGACCCCACACATCTGTATGAATTAGATGAAACGAAAAAGGTACACGCTTGTGTTTAGCAAGCTCACACACCTCACAATGGAGACTCTCAACCTCTAATGTTTTAAATAAAATAGGAAATATCTGCTTAATAACTCTAAACGAAGGATGACCCATGCGACAATGGTATAAGAGAACCTTCTCCCTATTATTCTTTATTGATTCTGACAAAAATGAATTGCTGCTGAGAAAATATGGGCTTGAATCTTTGTTATCCAAGTAGTAAAGACCACTCCATTCTCTAGCACTTCCAATCGTCCTCCCTGAATTCTTGTCCTGAAAAACACAAGAGTCATTATAGAAAATAACATTACATGATAGGTCTTTTGTGAGTTTATGTATGGAAATTAGGCCAGTAGTCAATTTCGGGATATGAAGGACGTTGTTAAGAGTCATGGATGAATTAAATTTAGTTGTTTCTTCACCTGCAACAGTTATAAGGGTGCCATCTGCAGTGAATTTTTTTTGTTACTGGGACAAGGTGAATAGGTAGAGAAGTGTATGGGTAAGGGTGTATGGTCGGTGGCTCCAGAGTCTAATATCCAGTATTGTTTAAAGGGTATATCTGAGACATTAAGTCCAAACAAAAATGGAGAGTTGCCAAATGGAAAAGATAATAAAAACGTACTTGGACGTGTTAAAGAACAAGTACCTGTTGGTTTCTCCAACTTACTGAGGAGAGATCTCACTTCTACTAATCAACTAACATGGTTGAAGTCTTCTCAACTAGCATTGTTGCAACAAGTACCTGTAGGTTTCACCCATTTTCTTCTAATCAACTAACATGGTTGAAGTCTTCTCAACTAGCATTGTTGAGCTTTCCATAGATGGTGGTGTCAACATTAATTCCCTTCTACTTTCTTCACTCCTCACTATAGACACTACATCATTAATGTTCGGTACTTTTTCTTTGCCAAGAATTTGTACTCTAACATGGTTAAAGTCAGAGTTGAGCCCTACCAGAAAGTCGTAGACTCTATCTTGCTCAATGTACTCCCTAAATTTTGTTGCATCTGTTGTACACTCGGTTTTGATAACTCTATAGTGGTCTAACTCCATCCACAAGGCTTTTAGATGATTAACGTATTCTGTAACTGTTTTGTTGCCTTGTTAAGTTCCTAGTGTTTTCACCTTCACATCATATATTTGGGCAGCATCTTTGGCTTTAGAATAAATTTCTTCTAATGCGTTCGAAATCTCTTTTGCTGTACTTAGGAACATGCAAGTGTCACTAATTTCTGGAGTCATTGAAACCCATAACCATGCAATGATTGCTGAATCTTCCGTATCCCACTTGTCAAATTTGGGATCTTTCTCTGGAGGTGCATTTGTAAGGTATTTTACTTTTCCCTTACCTTTCAAAGTCGTTTTCAAGAGTTGAGACCACTTTAAATAATTCTTTCCATTCAATTTGTAAACTTGAGGAATAATAAGTAATTTTGATTCAGATTTATACGCATTTGTTTCATCTTTACTGTCAGCGATTGAAAAAATTTAGAAACAAATGCAAGTAAAAAAAAATCACAAGTACGAGATTGTTCTAACAGTAGGGATGAACAGTAGCGACAAACAGTGCTGAAAAGTACCGTAAACAGTGCTGGAACAGCAGCGCGGGAAGTACTGCAAATAACAGCGATGAATACTGCCGAAAACAGCGGTGAACAGTAGCACACAGCGAGGTGAACAGTGTCGCACAGTGTGGTGAACAGTGTCACAATGCTGAAACAGTTTTACCAAAAGACCGCAATTAAGGCGGCTAGGATTTTTTTATGCAGAAGTGAAACCCTCTCAAACGAGAGCTCTTGATACCATATCAAAGCTGAATAATTTGATATATTATTATTATGAATATCCAAGTGATAATCCCTTTAAATAGAGTATTTTGACCTAACGGGCCTTACTAAAGATCCAAACTTAAATTACTAATAAAAATAACAAATTAATTAATTATTTATAACATGAATTAAGTTGTTTGTCTTGTAACAAAATTGTTTTTAAATAGCAAAACTTCATCTGATAAGAAAGGAAGTTCCTCTTGCCCTTGAGTTTTAAGTTTCTTAAAAGATATATACTAATATAGTAAGAACAGTTCCAACCCATGATATCATATATTAATAGCAAGTACAAATCACTATCTAATCACTTCCAAGTGCATAAGTGATGTTAAGAAGTGTGGTTGGGCCTAACTCAACCCTACAAAACCGGTTGGTAGAGTGAGGATTGCCCCCACTTATAAACACATGTTCATGCCATATTTGTCCGATGTGGATACCCCCACTTATAAACACATGTTCATGCCATATATTGTCCGATGTGGAACTCTTAACACACCCCCTCACGCTCAGGACTGGACAACTGAAGCGTGGAAGTAAATGGTGGGTGGCCCGATAGCGGAAACCATAGAAGGTGGCCCACCGGCTCTTAAACGAGACTCTTGATACCATGTTAAGAAGTGTGGTTGGGCCTAACTCAACCCTACAAAACCGGTTGGTAGAGTGAGGATTACCCCCACTTATAAACACATGTTCATGCCATATATTGTCCAATGTGAGACTCTTAACAAGTGACAATTGCTTCGGCTGCGTATTTCATTATGCAACTACACAGAAGCAACGTATATACAGTTAAATAGTGTTACAGAGTAGCATATAGTTAAACAGGCAAATCCGGCATGGAGAACAATTAATCAACTAAATATTCTAAAGAAGAAAACAATGAACATAATTTCAAAAAACCTAGAAGAAAATGAAATTCAGTACGATAACTAAGAATTATCAAACCTTAGTATCTTTTTTCGTAGTGGTACTGGTACAAACTTCTGGCAAAGAGTTATCACTAGTACTGCAATCGTTTGACACCTTTTTACTGGGAAATGCTGCCCCATCATGTGCATTTAGAACTACACAATAGCAATGATCTTTTTCAGTCAAAACCTGTAGGGAAATGGAATAACAAAGGCTTATTTTATGAAGTGAGCAGAGCCAGATTGCAAAAATATTTAATAATGTGTGTTACTTAATGAAACAAGATTCACAAACAATGAAAAAGGAGAAAGGCTTCTGCAACTATATTAAACAAAATTGTCTGCTTTTAACAGCAGTGTAAGCATTAGCAATTAACCAGGACACGCATTTATATGCATTAAACATTTTTACCAGAACATATTCTTTAATGGAAGTTACGTTACACATAAATACAAATCCGGGGCATTTCAAGCTAACATATTAGAAACGTGAAACCAGCAACATAAAGCATATATATTTTCAAGTGATATTCCTATCTTAGTTAATTCAAAAATTCACAAAGGATATTGGATACTTAAACATTCCATGCATAAAATATGATTTAAAATCTAAAATAACTTGCTAAAGTAGTATATTACCACAGCATCAAAAGTGGAGTCAAAATCATCAATTGCAAAACATATATCTGGATAAGCAGGTGTTGTTTCCACTTCCTATAGACATGTCCACGAAGGTGTTATTGTCAATAAAATGATAAGAATGTATAAGAAAAACTATTTTATTTCTTCCTAATGATATATAACAAAGAAAGCTACGCTTGCCTTTTTAGAGTCCAATTGGAAATTTACACGACTTGGAGATGCATAAACAGTCTTCACAACCTGAGAAAGTGCAATAAGCCATGTTTGCCACATCAAAATTTATTTTATACACATATTTACATTTAGAGTTTTAGACATCTTGAGTAATATACAACCCATGATTGTTAAGTCTATATAACATAGAAACAACCATGGTAAAAAAAAACGGAAACAACTAGTGTAAAAAAAGGGAAACAGCCATTGTCAAAAAAAAGGGGGGAAACAACCACATTACCTTCAAGTTTTTTGAAAAATAAAAAAGAACCCTACAGTCCAAAATCATAGGAACAAAGCCTTATTGTCAATTCACCAACACCAAAAACTGGGATTAAATATTCTGTGATGATGTCGTATGAGGTCAAGTACATGATGGATTAAAGCATGGAAGGGAACATTTTTAATTATGGAGCTAAATTTGGGTCAAAATTTACAATAATTGGGTAAGGTTGAGTTTTAGAGTTTCATGCAGCCATAAGTCAGAATGTTAATAAATTCAGAATTATAAGGTAATCATTTGATATGGATTAAAACCTTATAGACAGCCTAAAAAGTAAAAGTCTGATTAAACCCTAACTAGACATCCATCGAAGAAACTAAGGCCGAAAGCCTGGTGCTGCTTCCACAACAGTGGTTTGAACCTTTTTTTTTAAGCTTGGTATCCGGCATTGCGACCAACTAGTCCTAGGGGACCAATCTCACCGTCCACTAGCAGGGGTTCCATTTAATGACAGGGCAAAGTTTTGTATGGACTAGCCCAACACGGAGATTGTTAGCATCTAGCGGGATTCGAACTTGAGACCTTGAGAGGAGCACACTCTCATGACCCAAGCCTTCATCAACGTGCCAATCCCTAGGGTTTCATTATCTGCAAAAATCAATTTAACTCTCAAAGAAGGACATGCTTCACCAATCACCATCACCTCCTCAAAGGGTTTTTTAGGTTTACAAATCTGCCCTTTTTTGTCTCTAGGTCGGTATCTTTCATAGCATTCAAAATTTTATTTTTCTTGAGGATATTCACAAACAACCAAAAATGGTGTAAATAATATAAAAGAAATCAAATCTTGTCTTTTACAAACAATTACAAGTAAAGGAAGTGAAGATAATTCAAGTGGTAGACAAAGATTTATTAACTACATTTACCTTATATATAGGGGACAAAGATGTATCCTTCCCAGCTTGATGGTTTTGAAGAACCTGTTGACTAGAGAAATAGATATATTTGAATCAACAAATTACCCAAAAGCCTAAAAGCTTTATGTTGCTCATAAGAACCAATTCATGATGGTTTTATAGTTTAAAGCATATAATATAAGACTTTCCTTATTCAAAATTGAAGAATGTTTCAATTAGAGCATATAATTATTTATGATCAGCAGACAAAAAGTATAGAACCAATATTAGCAAGAAAAGCTGAAATGAGAACGGGAAGTCATAGTATAAGAAATTTTGCCAAACAGAAGTAGCCAATGATACAAGCTAGCTAATCCATGATTGCGGCATTTTGAGAAAACAAATGAAACAGAGATTCATTATCGGTAGAGTGTGTGCGCACATACAAATGAAATAAAATTAAAGGAAATGTAAATATGCTTGTGAAACCAAACCAGTATTAACAGCACGGATTAGGAGGCAAGGTGAAATAGATAAAGGAATGAGGATTACCTGCAAATTGCAACGGTTACGGTGAATGATGTATGAGCAATTAAATTCAAGTAAAAGGAACGCCTCCAATCCACATCAATTGAAGTTTCATCAACTAGGGTGCTCAACTGGTGGAGGAAAATTAAAAGAATTAGTTGGCGGAATTCGAAAGCCTACCAAGTAACAGACCTTCATGCTATGAATACTTATGACATTCTTTGGACAGAAAGGCATGTAAAACTAAGATACTAATATCATGGTATAAGCAAATGTATACGAAGGACACACGCATGCAAATTGAAGAATATTGATTGTTTATATTTCAGGAGCAGCATGTATATATACCTTAGGTGCCCACCTGCGTACGAAATAAGGATCAAGAGTTTCTGCATCGTTATTGGAAGCTCGAGAAACCTGTGTTGTGTGGAAAAAAACATGTAAAAATATCAACAATAATGGTTCATAAAAGAAAAGAAAGGGAAAAGGAAATGATAGATTAGGTTAGGTAGCATGTAAAAAAACACATAAAGTAGAAAAAGAGGAAATGATTATACCAATTTTCGAACAAAGAAAACGAGATCATCATCTTGGCGTCCCCTAGAGTCTTTACCGCGAAGAAAATACAAATCAAAAACATCGTGCCAAAACTTCATATCCATTTCAACATCAGGAGCATCTTGATCTTCAACAACCGTTTTCCCAATTAAATTTGAGTGCTTCTTCACCATGCTCAACAATTCATATCTGAGAAACCAAATAACAACCATCTCTTAATTTTCATTAATCCAATTCATTGTGTATTGATTAAGGAGAACAATTAAGTTCCAGATTCAGTATGATGTGAAGTTGCATGAATGAATGTTGGAGAATCGAATTATAAAATCTAAAAATGATGTGAATGTACCTTGAAGGGGTTTCGCCTCCATCACCAAGCATTTTTCTAAATCTAAAATTTTGTTTCAGTCGGTGAAATTAGAGTTAAAGATAGGAAGGATCAACAACAAATTCTCAGTTTCAGTTTGTTGCCAAAATTTCATTCACGACTGATTGAAAAGAGATGAAATTAACTCAACTGTTCGGTGGGTGTCATGAGATGTTAGCAAAGTAAAACAACAATCATCTGCCACTATTGCGGAAACGTTAACATCAAGTCGTTGTAGTATAGTGGTGAGTATTCCCGCCTGTCACGCGGGTGACCCGGGTTCGATCCCCGGCAACGGCGTTTTTTTCATTTTTGTGTGGCGTGTGACTGTCACATTGGGCTTCATAGGCATAAATTGAATTGGACCTGAATCAAACAAATTCACTTTTTCTTTTGGCACATCTAAACTTATGTTCAAGTAATTTAATATTAAAGACTTGTACTTAATTCTTTTTAATTTTAATACTTGTATTTTCTAATCTAATTTTTTATATTTTTTTAACATGATAAGTTAAGTAATTTAATATTAAAGACTTGTACTTAATTCTTTTTAATTTTAATACTTGTATTTCCTAATCTAATTTTTTATATTTTTTTTAACATGTATCTCAATAGAAAAGTTTTGCTAAAACACTTATTTTATCATTTTATTTGTCTTTTCCAATTCAATCTTGACTAGTTAAACATCCTCCATTTATGAGAATGATGAATTAATTTTTGAAAATAGCCTTGTTCCTTTAAATTTTTAAATTGTCATTTGTGTTTTAAATCACTTCTATTATGGTATTTGTCTAGTATATGTTCTTATTAGTATATTTTACTCTCTGATCAATAATTTGAAATAATTTGTGGTTTACCTTGTGAAATAGGAATGAATGAGGTACTTTGAACTATACATTTTAGTCGACTGTCACTTAGGGATACGATAAGGCATGGAATACAAAACTCTAATACTCTACTAATAAACAATGCTTGTATTTAGATTAATTTGTTAATGAGTTGTAAATAATTAATCTAAAGGGTCAAATGTTTAATTGTCAAGGACTTAAGATTGAATAATCTAGAGAATGAGTAATAAAATATAATAGTGACATCAATTGGCAATGTAAAATAAGGAGTACAAGGAAAAGCTTAAAATTAGCGTTATCCCTTACATATTTTATTATTAATTTTACAACTATTTCTATTTATCCCTTCACCTTACAATCAAAGATTAATGGCTTTTTATAAAATCAGAATCCTAAAAAGCCATCTTCTTCTCCCTAACACAAGCAGGATCAACACCTTTGTACTTACCACAAGTATAATTAATGCCCACTAAAATTGACTTATACCACACGTTCATCTAAAAATCCAATTTCATCAATCATCTTTCTGTAATTGTGAGACGAAGCAATGCCAACAACACCAACAATGATAATGAAGCCATAGTTGAGATGCATGTCGCTATGGAAGAATTGTGTCGTGCCAACGAAGCTCTGCGGACCAATGTCATACACCTTCAGAAACAACGTCATACCAATTGTTGTAATAAGAATCGAATATCAAGCTATTAATTAACTTGAATCACAAATCATAAAGTTCACCACCGAGCTTTGATTTATCCAAAGGAAAGGGTAGAGATCGAAGAAAACCCTAAGTGCGCTACAGGAACCTCTTGTTAGTATTTGTGTTATGTTAAAGTTTGCTTGCTAAGGAAAATGTGCTAAGGTAAAGACCTAGGGTATATACACTAAGTATACTCGCCAAGACATCGCATCTCGTGCCTACCTATCCTAACTAGGATGGAACCAGAGCAGCCGTAGTTCACCTAACTATGGGGTGAGAAACTCTTGACTGTGGTCAAGGTTCCAAAGGGGAGTAAGTATGCATAATCATGATACTTACACAAAGTAAACCAACTCTCTAAATCTAAGTTGAAAAACCTAACTAGGATTGACTTTTACAAAAGTCAAAGAGGGGAAGTGAGCACGCATAACCATGATACTCACATAGATTTACAAACTCTATACTTAATTCTAAGCTGCAAGACCAATTGGTTCTAACTAGACCAAAAGGAGGGAAATAGGTGTTAGTTATTAGTGGTTAGAGGGCTCGACAAGATATCACATCTTGTGCTTACGTATCTTGACTAGGAAAGGGGAATCAGAGCCTCCGTAATTCGGCTACTAGGATTGAGGAACTCTTGATTGTGGTCAAGGTTTCAGAGGGGAGTAAGTATTCATAACCATGACACTTACATGGAGTGCGACGACTCCAAACCTAAACTAGGTTGAACAAGCAAGACTCTCACATGATCTCGGGGAAAGATGGACAAGGTTGTTCAACATGACATGGAAGTCAACGGGGAAATACTTTCCTTTGGAATCAGGTTGGATGCAACAATGAGGAGCAAGGATGAAACTATATCCTAATGTTGTCATGCAAAGATTAAGAACTTAAATCTATCCTACTTCAATCTTAATAAAAAATTAAGTCGAACTAGGAGATCCTAAGGGAACATGTGAGAATTCCCAAGCAAACGAATAAGCAAAACAAAGCTCAAATGCCACAATGAACGTCAAGAATTAAACACAAAATTACACCAACAATTGGTCACAAAATGAACCGAGGGATTAAGTCAACAGGTCGTGAAAATTAATCAAGAAAAAGCACGACAAGAATAAACCATATTCCATTAATATAAAATAGTTAAAACATACAAAATCATAAAAAACGAGAAATCTTAAAAAAAAAGAGTTTTTTTTAAAAGAAATATTTAACAAAATAATTATCAATATTTTAACAAAGATTTTAAAAATGACAATTAACAAAACTATTTTACAAATTGATTATCAAAATTAATAAAAATAGGAAGGGTGTGAAAGAAATTAAGTCTATGGACTTAAAATCCCAAAACAAATCATGAGGAAGGGTGTATAACGTCAGACGTGTGTTTTACTTGAACGACAATGGGCTTTTGAAAGCCCATTTCAAAAGGCCATGGATTTTTATTCAAAAACGTCAGACCTAGCAACAAAATATGTGGAAAAATGAATACGACATGGGCCTTATGGCCCATCTATCAAACAAAAACGAAACAGCATAAAAAAAGCGGGGGTGGAAAATTTTTAAGAGCGTGATTCGTAGAAGTTTCTTAACCGTTGTAGGAAGATTGCAGCCTTGCCTCAATTCAATAAGGATTAGTTTCATTATGTTTTTTCCTTATTTGGCCTGAAGGACTTATGCATGACTGACTATTATGGTCAACCACAGGATGCTTAATGCATTCATGGAGAGATGGCACTCGGAGACCTCATTGTTTCATCTCTCGTATGATGAGATGTCTATCACACTCGACGATATCTTGTGTTTTCTATATCATCCAATCTGGAGGAGATTCCTAGATAATGGGAGGATAACCAACAAGGAGGCACTCGAGATTATAGTAGAGTATCATGGCGTTGATCCAAGGGAGGCGATGAAGGAGTTGGATAATACCAGGGGTGCTCATGCTAGATTTAAATTCCTGAAGAATCTATATGAGGATGATATCTAGAGTGTAGAGCAGGTTGATGGTGATGTTGAGCAGGTGGTGCTCCACAAGTCGCATGCATTGAGAGCATACCCTCTTTATTTGGTTGGCACTATGATTTTTATAGACAAAGGTGCTACCTATAACGACATCGTCTACCTACGGTACTTCATGGATTTCGAGAGGATCCATGAATGAAATTGGTGGGTGGCTTGTTTGGTCTACCTGTATTCGAAGTTTAGAGAGGGTTATATGTGGAAGACGAAGCAGGTCAGTGGCAACATAACACTACTGATGGTAATAATTATTGGTCTTTGTATTTTATTTTCATTTCATATTTGCAAAGCCATTACTGATGAGTGGTGTGTTCCAAACTTTTCCATTTCAGGATTGGTTCCTCAAGCACTTCCCACACATCTCTAACTGGGCGAGTGTACCTGAGTATACTAAGGATATGTTGCATGCTACTGCTTTTATCCTGCTCAGATGGAACCAAGAGAGCAAGCCTTATAGGGTCTATCTTGATTGTTTGGTTGTTGAGGACATACACTTCAATAGTTATGTTGATCATCGTCAGACGTGGCCATTTGACAAGATAGTGATATACTCTAAATGGTTGGCCTACAGATCATATCTCACCGCTATTCATTTGCCTAAGTGCATTATGCGGCAGTTCGACTACACTCAAACCATTCTCAGATACCCTACTGTCTCTGCTTTATCTGCCTTGACACGTAGACAGATAGAGGACATACTTGATGATTATGATATTCATCTCGTACCGGAGGAGGCACGGGCTACCATAACTGAGAGCGATTGGAGCTACATCATAGGGTACATCAAATGGCTCTTTAGGGTGTCACATTTATAAATGATGCATGTTGCTCCAAAAGATCCGTCGAGACCAGCTCATTAGGAGATACTATAGAAGAAGTATACACAACTAGATCATATTGACGATGTCTTGCCTAAGTTTCGTTGCATAGTGGAAATTGTGCAGGCAGGAACACAAGTATCTTCCCTGATGGGATGTCATGAGGGTCCTAGATGCTATCTTGATGGAGGCACATGAGACATTGCTGTACCAGAGACATCGTTAGAGGATAGGGAGATTGATGGTCGAGGAGGTAGATGAGGCATAGGAGGTAGAGGAGAGGTTGTCATACATACACAATAATCTCTTATTATATAATAGTAGTATTATGGTATGTACTTTATTTTGATGGTCTTACTAGTTTGTTGATCTCGATTGTACGACAATTTTGACATATATTTGTATTTTATTTTTGTATGGCATTTTTGGTCCATCTGGAATTATGTACGTCTATTTTTTTATTCTTTTATTGTACGGTATAGTTTAAATCTTCATCTGAATACAGATAAATAACATGTAACTTGAAAGGCCTATTCTAATGCGTTACGAAGATGTATCTCTAAAACATTCACGAAGGTGCATCTCTGATAGAATTCAAATTTAAATGGATTCTAAGTAGGTGCGTT